TGGACAATAATGCACAGACAGGATCAGAGAAAAATACATGCCATTTTTTAAAACAATTTTCTGAACTCTATGGAAACTAGAACTGTCCAATAGGGACAAATACCCCCCGCTAGGTTTTTCAGAGAAGGTGCCAATTCAAAAATAATTTATGGATCTAGAGGTGTTCTTAATTTACTTACAAAAATTTGCAGTGAAATAGAATTGCTCATCATGTTTCTTAATGAATGAAACAAATGTTCAACCAAATGAAACATCAATACTAATACATTGTAATTCCATTGTAACATTTTTAAAATTTTTTTTAATTTATTTTTTTTATTACTGCATTTAAAAAATATATTGCAATTATGTGTTATGTCACTATGCAAACTGATTATTGAAAAAAAAAAACCATTCAAAATCAAATTAATCTTGATATATCAATTTGAAATGCATTTTGAAAATAAAGAGCTGGTCATCCAGTAATGAAGTGCTTTGACAGACAATAAATTACAATTAAGAGAATAAGAGAAGAGAGATCTTTAATTCTTGTGCCTTATTCCCTGGAGATAGATAACACACACACTCGATAAGACATATGCCTTAACAACTTCCAACACCAAACTCATTAATTTATCTTTAACTGGAAGCATGTCCAGACATAATTCCCAAGAGACAAATGAAATTACATTATCTTCTGTGCAATGTAAAAACTGTTTTTAACACTTAATGATGTTTCTTTTTTTAAGTTTTTATGAATAGTTTTAAGCTGTAGTATTTTTGAACAGATATTCTAGATTCCATATCTCTAACCTTGTACATAAGCCCAAAAATGAACAAGTCAATTAAAATAAAAAATAAAACCTGTAAAATGCAAAAAAAAAAAAAAAAATCAAAAAGAGTTGAAAATTCCAGGTGCACACCTTTATATGGTGAATAATAAGTCTACAAATTTTCAGATTAATCCTTGCAATAGTTTCTGAGAAATGAAAAAACACCTGTAAAATTCAAAATAATAATTTAATCAAGATGAAAATATCAGGTGCACAACTTCATATGGTGAATAATATGTGTACAAATTTTCAGACAAATCCCTCCAATAATTTCTGAGTAATGGTTTGGACAAAGTCTCGTCTACAGACAGACAGACGGACATGGTGATTCCAATATACCCCCCCCCCCCTAAACATAGTTTGCGGGGGGTATAATAAAAAAGTGGTACGAGGCCAGCATTTACACTGTCTTCAAGAGTGCAACAAAACAACAAGACAGAAAATAAAGATAACGATGAAGATGTTGAAGCAGAGGACTCCAGAGATTCTAATTCGTCCAACCGAAGAAATCCCTCAAAAGTAGGAATAAGAATCAGTCTGCATTACTTGCTTTGGAAGAGTACACAAGAAGACAAGAAGAATACAGGAAAGAAAGGTTGGAGGTCTCAAAAAAAAAACAACACGAGGAAAAAAATGAATCTTATGGGAAAGTTAATCGATTGTCTGCAACCAAAAATTTCTAAAAATGATCAGTAAAATTAATAGTGAAGAATTTGTAAACAATTACTATCTTTGTGTCTTTGTAGATTATTTGAAAGATTTGGATACAACTTAGTTGAATTTTATGAGTTTACCAAGAACATTGAGGATTGCTACAAGGACTTGCATATGATTATTTTTCAATCACCAAAAGCAACAGAGTGCTTTGATTCGCCCTTTTCATATTGTTCATATTGCTCTGCTTCGTCTGAATCTCAGTTCTCTTGTGAAATGTCTACAAAGTGTTTTACGCCAGACACTTTGCTTAAAGAGACATGTTTAAATGTAGAATCAGACTCTAGCAATATACAAATAGGGAACAATGTATTTGTCTCCACATTAAAATTCCATCACATGGTTAACACTTCATTAGAGAAATGGATTGACGATATTTAATGCTTTAATTCTTTCCTTTTTTAAAGATTAATTTACATTTGTGATATGCCAAATAGGCCCTGTCAATTTTCTTTAAAAAGTTGTTTTTTAAAAACAATACATGGTTATAAATTTAGTTTAACTTCTAATTTTATTAAACTTTCATTTTCAAATACAATCTTGTCTCTAATCATTGTCTTTTCTCTTATGCACAATATTTAGATTTTACAATGTTTGTAGATACTGAACTATCTGATTGCAAAAGTTTATACCAAGGGGTGCATTTCCATATAATGGTCCATAGTTGTTGACATTATTGTTTGGAGGGAGGTCATCCAGCATGTCATTAACAGAGTCATTTGATAGAATGCAAATGTTGTGAAGAACACAGCATGCATTTATTACTTTGCAAGCACGTTCTATATCCAAGCAGGGTAGGCTCGTGAGCCTTCTGAATCTACACTTTAGTAGGCCAATGGCTCTTTCAACATTCTGACGTGATGTTGATAGCTTTCTATTATAATGTCTCTGGGGGCAGTTAACCTTCCATTATCACGGAAAGGGGTCATCAGGTAAGGCTTCAGTGGGTAGGCAGAATATCCTGTAATGTTTTGAAAAACTAAATTAAGTTTCTTGTATATGTACACATTAAAATTTATTAAAATAGGAAAACCATGCATATTAACCTACTTATATAGTTACTATTTTCTTTGTTAACCCCAATAAGTTTGACAAAAAGAACAAAGATCTAGAGGTATCCTTGTTGAAATCTTAATTAATGTGCTTTAATTTTGAAACATTTTACTCAGTTAAAATTTTCTTACCAATTATGAAAAAGTGTGGATTTAAAATTCCATTTTCCAACTCGTTAAAGATATCCGAGTTTCTGTAAATTCGGGCATCGTGGGTACACCCTGGCCATCCAACAAAGCTATCTGTAATAAGTAACATATGGTCTACAATAACTTGCAACTATATAACACAATTAGCTAATGTGTTTGGATTAGAAGACTTTTGTAAGTTTATAGTTTTATTACAAAGTCACAGCAAAGGTATCAAACAAACAATGGTACATCAAAAAGTTCAATTATAAAGATCTCGGAGCCAAGATGGTGAAAGCTCACATAGTCATTGCATCACATAGGTCTCAGAGCTAAGTTCGTATAAGCTCTCATGGTCCGTCTCGGAGCTAGGATGGTAAAAGCTCTCCCAATTCATTTCGGAGCTAGGATCGTAAAAGCTCTTATAGTCCGTCTCGGAGCTAAGATGTTAAAAGCTATTGATACTTAGTGCGCACATCCTTTTGTACAAGAAGCTGCATCATAGGGTTTACATATTTGGTAATAGCAATTAGTTAGTTAGAGTGTCACTTCATTAATATTCATATTGTCCGCCCCTCACTGAAGCTCCGTCTCCCATCTCCTTATAGGATATGGCAATGTCCTCTGTTTACATTAACATTATATGCATCTTGCACATTCTTCAGTTAATTAGATGGCTGCAGCTCTGCACAAAGTCTGATTGGAAGTGTTAATGCTTGAGAACAACACATCGTTAAAACTAATTGTCCGTCAAATGAAGACGCTCTGTTATTGTATTCTACCTCCCAGAGTTTGTAAACAAGTTCGTAATTAAGATAGTATTGTCTGTCGCACTACACACTGATAGTATCAATTATAATTCATAACACAATATTAAAACAGATAAATGTACTGTACAAATTAATATATCAATTAAACTTTATAATTTATACAGTCATTGTGTTACAACTGGAATAAGGGATACCCTTTCCTGTTGATGTAGTCTTGCTCTCCATTGGGAATGTTTGTAAGAGTAATGTGACTGCCATCAATTATCCCTATGATTCCTGGTATTTTACATTCGGCCTCAAAGTGATCAGAAATTTCTTGCTGACGCTGGGGACCTGGCCAAGATATAGCTCGATCCCGAACTGAGTATAATGCATCACAAAAGTCATGAACACAGTCAAAAATTGTGGACTGTGAAATTCCAAACAGTAAAGAAACTTCTCTCATGGAAGTTGTATTACATAAATACCACAGTCCTACCATGGCACGTTCCTCCGTCAATATCGGCTGTTTGCCCTGTGTCCGAATATCCTTGGCTAGATTTGGTTCTAATCTCTTGGAATAAGCGTGTGAACGTTTGCCTTGTTAGTCTAAAATGTTTACTAAAGTCAAGAGAAGAGAAATCTGGTAACACTTCTTCGTAGAATATTCTTATAGATGGGACACGCTCTCTTCTGATAAAGTTAACAAAAAATATGGGACAATATCATCGTCTATGTCCTCTTCCTCAAAAAAGTAATCGACCGCAAACACTTATCCGACGTTATCAGCCATATTTGTTAACATTGGAGCTCGACTCGAGGCATTCGATTACATACTCTATAGCGCATGCTCAACAATGACACTAGTGTCTGAAGAGTTCTTATAATCGAATGCACCGATATCTCGTGCGGCTTAACGTTCCAAGTGTTTTTGATGGAACAACTGTGCTCGCCCCAACGGTCACACCGGACTACCTATCATCACTCCTCATTAAAAAAATGTTCATAAATTATATTAATTTATGCTATAAATCTTATCTGTATATTAATCGCCCCTCTTATGTCATCCTCTGCTGACCGTTATGACTATTGACTCCTGATCTTAAGGATCTTACATGTATAATGAATTTCCTATACTCAGGAGGGGATGTGAAGTATATATAGCGCGATAGAGTTTTAGTTGTACTATAGAACGCTTAATGTTTGATCAAGTTAGTTAACTATGCCTTTGTCTTGGATCTAAACGTACATGTGATTGTTTTACTTGATTTTTTGTGAATTATTTTTCCTGAATGTTTCTGTTTGTGATGGCTGTGTAAATAAACTGTAGACCAGAATTTCGGCGTCTACTTTGAAGATTCGTGGAACAAGTATGAAATTAGCAATGGGCGCCGTCGCTAGGTGGCGCTGGCGACAAGTTTTCCCGCAATCTCAAAAAGTTTACCTCGTTGCGCTTGGGATTTTTCCCGGTCTAATATGATAAAACCTGAGGCTAAAATACGAAAATAATGGTGTGAAACTAAAGTCAGGATGTCAAATTTGACGTATATGATATTTATAGAAAGCACATGGTAAGAAAATGGCAACTTATCGATATTTTAAGTGAGAAAATAGGTGGCAAGACTAGAAATCGGCAATATACGCAGATTTTACGGTCATTTTTGAATTATTTTATCTTTTTTAAGCTTAAAACAATACTTAGGCAATAAGTATTAACACGGATAATTAATGTAATATTGATTTTCAATCCAGTAGGTCAAACGAACAAGAACGATAACTCTAATGTTTTGAAATCCGCGGTAAATTGTTTGTACTTTGCTTGTCTCTACAACAAAGCATTAAATCGCCGATTTTTCCGGTTCAATGAGTCTTCCTGTTGTTATCTTCGACAAGTATGTATTACATTTGATTTATAAACATATGAAAACATTTCATTCTGTCCTTTAATTGCATTATCTTGCAAATTTTCAAGACCGAAAATTCACTGAATTTCAAAACTCTTGCACTTGCAGAACGATATGTGACATATGTCGCCGTGAATTAAACTGAAAATTAAATCACGTCCGAACCAAAGCCACAGGAAGAACTTCAAGAAGACTCCAAAAAGACCCAGGTCAGTGTAACACCTTTATCATAATAAATTGATATATGCTCTGCAGATTAATAATTTAAAAAAAAAAAGAATTTTATTAGGCCTAATTTAAATGCTTAACTAAAGTTAAAGATATGAATAAATCTAATGAATATGTGAAAACTGAAATGTTAAATTGAAATGTCTTTGTCAAGTTAACTGTAATTGCAGACCACTTTTTAAATTTTTTTTTCTAGGAATTTATTGAGGAAAATCAGCTAACAGTAACACCTGAAAGTCCTCTACTCTTCAGTGAGTCAGATACTGACTTTCCAATTCCAGTGATTCATCAGAAGGTGAACTTTCACAGTCAATTTTAAAAGGTTACAGAAAAAAGGCCAAATTTTCAAATCAAAATGTTTCAACTCAGACAATTGAATTTCAACCATCATATCAAACAGGTATTTACTATGAACAGGATGAAAGGCAAATGGGTATGTGAAATGAAAAACAAACACAAACAATTATATCTTCCTTACTAAATACAGCAGATCATGTCAAATAGTAATGGGAGGACCATTTAAATTAACTACTTTCAACACATATATACAGAAAATGTTCTTGTCCAGACTTTTCAAAACAACAAATCCTGTCAAACAATTGCAACAACAAGCAAATTTAATTAATACCAAAAATGGAGGCATGCAGAGAAATGGAAATACCTATAAATTGTCTTACAGAGAGCCCAGAAAGCATTCTCTTTATTAAAAATACTTTACCCATTGGTGTAATTTTAGAACTTTATAATCATATGAAAATGAAGAAATTGGAAGTTAAAGATTTGCTTCTTTGGATATCAAAGTTAACAAACAATCCCAAAGAATCTATAAATCAACCTGCTTTTCTGTCAAAAATCCACAGACACTTAAAGACTAGTGCAAGTAAGCGTTGCGATGACAAAAAACAATTTTTAGACTTAACTTTTACTTTACCTGTGGGTACTATTTCCCAAACATTACCAAGTACAGAAACATCTGTTTTACAAGAGGAAAAGTCTCCTAATATAAGTACACAAAAACTCTTAGATGAGAGGAGAAAAAAGTGAAAGACTTGAATGAAAAATGTAAGCAGCTTGACAGAAAACTGAAAAGAAAAATAGACAAAGAAAAAAGTTCTAAAACTAAAATCCAAAAACTTGAGGAGGATGCCAAGAAAAAAATAAAGTTATGAAAGAAGTACAGTCAGTAAAACAACTAAATGACAATAGATTAAACTCAGAAAAAGCAAAGAGTAGTAAGTTTTACAGACTGAATAAAAATCTCAGACAAGAAAATTCATTACTTAAAGATCAATTAACATCAGCACAAATTCAACTTGCTAGTGCTCAAAAGCAAATCCTAAATCTACAGGCAGAGACCGATAGTACAATTTGAGTAGTCTACAGCAAAAAGTCAATGAACAGGAGTTATCTATTCATTACTTAGAAACTTTGCTAGAAGATCAAAATGAAGTCATACTTTTTGATGAAAATGAGCGAAAGTATACAAACAGCACAGGAGTTATCTATTCATTACTTAGAAACTTTGCTAGAAGATCAAAGTGAAGTCATACTTTTTGATGAAAATGAGCGAAAGTATACAAACAGCACTGTTGAATGTGTTATGAATTTAACAGATCTTAAAGTTCCATCTGATAAAGTAGGGAAAGTTATTCAAACAGTAGGGCATTTGCATGGAAAAATACCTAATGCAATTCCTTCCACAAGAACAGTCAATACTATAGTTGACAGTAAAATTGCTGTTGCAGTTTTGTCTAAAAAAAGATTCTACCATATACACAGATGAAACACGTAAATATGGGAAAACTTTAGAAGCGTATTTAGTTACAGACTCTGAACAAAACTGTGATCTTCTTGGACTTAGGGAAATGTTGAATAAAATCGGTGTTTGTACATTAGACACATTCAAGGAGATACTTAGTGACATAACAAATAGCTGCCATGAAAAAGAATCGACAGGTAATATGAATGTTGGTTATCAAATATTGGCCAACATCCGAGATACTATGTCGGACAGAACTTCGACAGAAAAGGCTTTTAATAGATTACTTGAGGAATACCGACTTGAAATTTTGCCTCAAGTTATTGATGGATGGCCAGACATGGACGAGGTAGAGAAGAAATCCTGTTCAAAGATGAATAATGTTTTTTGTGGCCTCCACCTCTTAGTATGAATGGCAGAAAAAGTTTGAACTTTTCAATTCAGAAGGAAAAGATAAAGGATCTGCTGTACATGCCGAGCTAAAGAGATACCACAGATCTGAGAGTGGTACACTGCGGTTGCTCAGAACTTCCTCAAAGGCTTTAGCTGTGGGTGAAGATGTAAAGAATGGAGCAAGTCTGGAATGGAAAACATATCTTAAGGAAAAAAATGAAAAAAATTTAGTGACAAGGTTTAAACACAATAGGTTTAACTTAGTTTTTGTGTTGGGTAATGGCATTTACTTCCATGCCAAAGATATAAGTTATTTCCTTGATACTGTTCATGGCACAACAAATAGTCTTCTGAAAGCAGTGAGCTTGGACATTAAAGAAGTTCTATTTTTGGCTGGTGTTAAATCATTTGGATTAATATCCGTCTTCATATCCGCACCACTATGGAGAAAACTAGAGGAGCCTGGACACATCCTTGGAATGAATGAGACATTCAAAACATTAACAGATTTCCTTAAAGAAGCATCTAATGATGTGGGATTATTGTTGTAAATTTATCAGGGGTGAGGTAACTCCATCTAATACCACAATAAATGAAGATGACAGGGTAACTGTACATCTTGCAAGTGAAGATATGAAGTGGATGAAATTCTTCTCCCTTTTTTGCAAAGTCTCTTCAAAGCAATACAAGAACTGTTAGAAAGAATGGTTGAGGATCATCTTCCTGGAGGACAGTTTTGGAATCCAACCGAGGAGCTGAAACAACAAACACAATCTGTTATGAAGCATAATAAATAACCAGAGTTTACCTTCGGCCAATTAGATCAACTGCTGAGAACGAGACCAAATGCAACAACATTAAGCAATGAAAGCTTTTTAATGTATAGTTTTAATAAGACAAGAGAATGGCTTTGTGGACTTGACCAAGAAGAGAAGGACAGGTTACTCAGCGAGTCAAGAAAAGAAGGAACCAAGATACGCTGTTTGTTCAAAGAAAGGATAGAAATCATAGAGAAGAAAAGATTGGAGCATCAAAAAGAAAAACAAAAAGAATTGGAAAGGAAAGAAGCAGATAGGATTAAGAAAGCAGAGGCATTTACAAGTGACATATGCTATTATGGATTATTTCAAAGTTTAAATCAGCTCAATGAAGGACTAGAGAGACTGGATAAAGAAAGTGAGAAGAGAAAAGCTTTGGAGTCTTATATAAAATTCCGTAAAAATGTTCTCCATCAGAAGCATGAAGATAAAAAAGTTTTCAATTTAAGTTGTAGGACGGAATCAGGTAAATACACAAAGTTGCCATTAGATACCCTTAAAAAAATGTATTGACACTGATTCAGGTAACTCTTACTGTTCCAACTCATGAAAAAGAACATGAATGACTACCTCTTCCAGTAGGAAAAAGAATTGAGCCTAAATTTACTGATGGGGTTTACAAAGGTTTTGTCATATCTCTTGTTCCGGGATTTCCTCAATGGTATAATGTTAAATATGAGAGTGATCCAGCAGTGTATGCATACAATCTTGCTGATGATTATAAGAAAGGAGATCTAAAGATTGTTGTTTCAGCAAAATAAAAAGGACTCGGTTCTATTAAATATGACTTTTGCAGGTGTAAATATTTTTATATAATTTTTAGCTCTACTGGTCAGAGACCAGAAGAGCTTATGCGATAGTAATGCGTCCGTCGTCCGTCCGTCTGTCTGTCTGTCTGTCTGTCTGTAAACAATCTTTCAAAATGCTACTCCTCCTACAGTTTTGGTCTAATTTCAATATAACTTGGCACACAAGTAGACTACACTAAGATACATAATTCTGTGTATCGGTTTTTGATTTCGATGATCGGTGTTGCCGTGGTTACTAAAAATAGAAATTTCTGTGAAATTCTTTCAAAATGCTACTTCTCCTACAGTTTTGGTCTGATTTCAATATAACTTGGCACACAAGTAGACTACACTAAGATACATAATTTTGTGTATCAGTTTTTGATTTCGATGAACGGTGTTGCCGTGGTTACTAAAAATAGAATTTTCTGTGAAATTCTTTCAAAATGCTACTCCTCCTACAGTTTTGGTCTGATTTCAATATAACTTGGCACATAAGTAGACTACACTAAGATACATGATTCTGTTTATCGATTTCTGATTTTGATGAACAGTGTTGCCATGGTTTCTAAAAATAGAAATTTCTGGGAAATTGTTTCAAAATGCTCCTCCTCCTACAGTTTTGGTCCGATTTCAATATAACTTTGCACACAAGTAGACTACACTAAGATATATAATTCTGTACATTGGTTTTTGATTTTAATGAACGAAGTTGCCATGGTAACTAAAAATAGAAATTTCTGTTAAAAACTCTCAAAATGCTACTCCTCCTGCAGTTTAAGTCTGATTATGATACATGTATAATGTGGTATGCAAGTAGACTATACTAAGAACATATAAAGACTTAATCAAGGATCATTATTCTGTTTATTGCTGTGGTAAAGTTTCAATTCCCAACTGCTTAAGAACTTTTCCCTTCCATTGCTATAAGAACAAACCAGTAGAGCTTCAGTCTCGACAGAGACTTCTGGTTTAATAAGTATCTCTTTGTGTTTTTAGACAAGGAGCTAGGACAACACATATTTCAGTGTAAGCAGCTGACATTTTTGTTGAAAAGTTTAGTTTACGTTGTTTCAGTTGCATGATCATGTCAGAAGTAGTGAGGCATAAATTTTTATCAAGTTGATACACAGTTGATATACATTAGTAATTAAACAGAACAAAGCTACAAAAGCAAAATCTAGAAGAAATCCTTAGAGTTTTAGTGTGTTTTTCTACTTTGACATGGTATTACATACATTAGGAATTAGATTTTGTTGTTTATTTCTTTGCGTGAAGTTTCCTATTGTTATACCCGCACTTTCTAAAGAAAGTTCGGGTATATTGTTGTTACTCATGTCCGTCCGTCCGTCCGTCCGTCCGTCCGTCCGTCCGTCTGTCACACTTTTCTTCCCTGAACTCCTCCTACATTTTACACAGTAGCTTAATCATCTTTTAAGAGATGGTTGGTGGTGTCATGTAGATGTGCAGTAAGGTTTCGGGATTTTGATTTTGCCCCGGGGGGTCAAATGGGGGTCGAAAAATGACGTTTTTTGTGCAAAAAGTCCCTTCTTCCCTGAACTCCTTCTACATTTT